GAGGTTCCTCTTCATTTATTTTCCTAGTACCCACTACTGTTTCCTTTTCATTCCCTTTAAGAAAATGTCATAAATAACTGTCATTTATAAAGCTTTGTTTTATTCTTGACATCTACACAAATGGTTCTAAAATTCTATTGGCTCTGAAAATCATGTAAACTTAACACCTTYGGTGATTTTTTTTTTCCTCAGGTATTTTGATGAGATTGACGATGAGATGGATCCAGAAATTGAAGAAGCATATGAAAAATTCTGTCTAGAATCAGAACATAATAGAAAACAGTGAGATGTTACATATTAATGTTAGTTTATTTAACCACTTTAGGTATGTTTAGAGTGCAGGGGGACACAAAACATTTGTACCAAAATGAGGAACTTGAGTTTCTCCAAGTACTAAAGTTACACATTTTCCATTTTGTTTAACAGAATCTGCCAAAAATTGTAAACTTATGCCCTGTAACTTAAAATGTTGTGTATATATCATAGTTTATTTTATGAAAAATGTTTTTTGAACAATGTTTTGGCTGCAATAAAAATTATTTAAAAGTTATAATTGAAATTAAAATTTAGTGGGGATCTGTCCCATAAAACTTCCCTTGAGGRAGAAAGGGAAAGAATAATGATCTGAATTTGCTTGCTTGTTTGCTTTAGTATATATTGGGATTCACTCATCCTATTTACCATATACAATATATCTTGCATTTACTTCCTCCGCTTTCCCCCCCAAGAAGAGTATGATCCAAATAAGAAAGAATTTTTTTTTCTGTAGTTCACAATCATGAGAAGTGGCTTGTGAAAGTTTTGTGTATTCGGTTTTTGTTTCGTTCATTTCTTTTTCTTCTTTCAAAACATACATGGGTGAGGTCTGGACTTTATTTTTTTTCCTGGAATAAATATGTTACATGTTGATATATGTGAAAAAGCAAGCAGTATTTTGGAAGTGAGTTGCTTTCAAGATCCTTGGTTCAGATAAGCTTATTTTCAAATCTACAAGAAAAAACTGCTCTGTAATTTGTTGTGTTCTTCAAGGCAATAGTAATACAGTTGTGTTCTAAACCATGCTTCTCAAGAGTATGTGCAGTGCTTTTTTTTTATTTTGGTTTTTTTTCTCAGTAATGTATCTAACATGTCTAACCTTCCACAGCCCTTGCAACCTTCTTCTATTCTTCTAATTTGATGTAGTTTGATTTAATTTTGTAGTTGGAGTAAATTCATAAATTTCATAAATGTTAACATTATGAAGCCAACTGCTCTTTTTTTGACTCCATATAATCATGTCAGTTTTCCTAGGATACCCCATYGTTGTTGTTGTTGCCAAACTCAGTTGAAACTGTTTCCTGTTACCTGTTGCTGGTTAGACTTGAGTAGAAATCCTTACCAAAAACAAACGCAAGTACTTCCCAACAGTTAGCTACTATAAAGAACACGCATTGTAAAYATGCATGTAAATAATTCAGATAATATTTCACTGTTATTTGTTCGGTTAAATAAGTTGTGCATCTGCTAATACAGTGAGCAGTGACTGTTTTCTGGATGTTTATTTAACATACTTATTTAGGTTGGAGTTTTGGAAAATAAAATTTAACTAGCTTTATTTTCTTTGGTACAATATCACTACCTTGTCTTCTTGCTTTAAAACCAAAACGATTTTTTCACCTTCTTTTATCTCTCCTTCACTGAGCACTCCTTTCTCTTCTTCAAAGTACACAGTTGCAGACAGTATTATCTTTTAATACTTGCTGGAAAAATAAAATATATCAAAATATAGTATGTTCATAAAGACTGTATTAGTGTTTCAAAGTCTTTAGACTAAAATCCAGAAACTAGAAATTTAAAAATTAGATGATTTTCAAATACATATTCTCTGACTTGAGCATAATTTTCATACAAAACTTAATCTAAATACAGGTCAGAATTTTTGCTGACTTTACAAGCAGATGTCTTGTGGAAAACATTTATTCAAAACCTAAAGTCCCAAGGAACAARCATTCATACATGCTTTACAGTAAAGGTGCAGTGACTCCAAGAGACTTTGCTTTACATATATTAGTTTTGCATGATGTGTGGCGAGTCTTCTTTTTCTGTAAGATAGCTGTCAGCTCCAGATGTTCCATCAGCTTGTGGAAACAGAGTAAGAAATCATAGATAAGAAATCATTGCGTAAAAAAAAGGAACTAGGAATTGTGTATATATAAAGCCCCTCAGGTCAAGTTTGCAACACAGGTTTTTTCTTCCACTGAAAATATTGRAAAATCATAAAGTGAGACTTCTGTTGCGAGTGGTGGAGAAGTTTATAGTCTGTACCTATGAACTTCGTTAAGTGCTTCCAGTCTTCCCTGCAGTATGGAAAAATTGTTTTTAACTCTGTCCTGCTGCATAATCTTTTCATTAAACACTTAAGTCTCTCCTGCTTGTCTTAAATCTCACTCAACTTCAATGCAAACTAGTGAAAATGAGAGACCAAAAGAAGCAGCAGGTTTCTCACTGGCAGAATCCCTTTGTCTGCTGCTTTTCTGCCGACTAGTACACACCCATTGTTTTGTGTATGATGGAGATGAATCATGAGAGGTTTAAAGGTTATTTCACCTGAATTTTCTCATTTACGAATTTCAAATGCACTGTGTAAAACTGCTTCTCATCTACAGGTTTCCAAGCAATGCCTTGCAAATATACAACCTTTTTAAAACATGCCTTTTCTTAATGATGTAGTGGTGAATCAGTGAAGACACAGAAGCATGAGACCCAAGCTTTGCAGATCAGTAAAAGTGTGTGCACTATTTCCCACTCTTGAAAAAATTAATTATGACTTAACAAAAGTCATAGTATTTTTGAAAAATCACACTTGGTTTAAACTAATTTTAAAATGGGCTGCAAGAGTTTCTGCTTTGCATGTTCTTCACTATTGAGTGATTTTCATATTCAGAAATGAAATAAGCTTATTCTTAGAAGTTGCCTTCCAAATCTGCAAGGAAGTTCTTGCTACTGGCTTTTTTCCTTTTTGTTTTTTTTTTTTTTTTTGGAAAACATAAGGTCTCTGGCTTTTAACTGTTAGGTTTTAGAATCATTGTAGTATTATGGCGACAAACAAGACTGGCCCAGTTACATCAGGTATCACAAGTTGCACATAGTTGGGAATTTTTTTTTCAATAGACTAATCCATTGTGGCACTGACTGTTGGTGACACTCAGTCTGGTGTGTAATAGTAATMTTATTTCTCTCTGGGCCAGTACTTCCTTATCATGTTCTGTTTTCCTTCCTACTGCACAGAACTCATTCATGTCTGTGAATCATTACTGATACAGGAACAGGAAATTACATTCCAGCCAGAAGTCAGGGAAGATACTACACTGTTTGTACCCTGAATTGCTGATTTGCCATCTTTACTTCAGGCCTGTGTGACCTAATTCCACAGTTCCTATGCTGAGGGTTCCAACAATAGCAGTGAAACTGCCAGTAAAGTACAATGCATCATCCATAAATAATAAAAGTTAATATTCATAACTCATTCATAATCCCAATATATACTTTGAAACTTGCTTCAAGCAAGTGCTGTGCAGAATACTGCTTATTAAAAAGGAGTATTGCAAATAGAACCAGGTTATTTTGATGCATGGCTGTGTAGCAGCCACTTGACTGGATGTGGATCTAGTCTCTGCTGAGACAACAGCTGTCAAGAATGGAAAGTTGTACTGAATGATGGCACTTAGTCCATGATGGCACTTAGTCCATGATGGCACTGATCTGAGAAATCTGTACTTCCCTAAGCAGGTAAAGGACCATTGTTACAGCTAAGAGAGACCATATGATCTCGTGTGGATGGATCTTCAGCTGCATTTGCTAAGTACTTGGAGTGGGGGTTGATAATAATTGTCACTTAGCTGTGCATTGTCAATCCTCTTAAAAGAGCTTTGATTCAACTGTAAGTATTGGCGGGGGAGGGAGCGGTGGAGGATGTATATAATCTTCAAAAAAAGGCAACTGGGCCTAATTTTAAARTTATCCTTTGAGATCTTGGTCTTTCTGTCCAGTCAGGGCGGGTTTCTACTATGTGTTGGATCATCCCTCCCTGTGAATGCGTGAATGAAAAGGAGCCGTCACTAGAGAATTATGTATCTGTAGTCTGTGGGCTACGTTGTAGGTGAGCAGTCTGCCTTCTGGTTTTCCAGTGGTGCTGCTGTGGGCAGATGAGGAGTAAATGCCCAGGTACGGAGCCGTGGATTTGCTGGACATGGATGCAGGCGAAGCAGTTCTGTGGGGCGCCCTGCTCTGCACCGTGGCACCTTGGTGAACGAGGCGTGTCTTGGAGAAGTAAATGGCGGGAGGAGGTGTTCAGGCTTTCGTACTGCTAACTTTCATTTCTGGAGCGGCAAAAAATTACACCCCCGCTTCCAGCAAATAAAAACTTAAAAAAAAAAAAAAAGTACAAAGACACCATGTGCCCTTCCCTCAAGCTTATTTTACGCATTTGTGTATCAAATACGCCTCCCTTCTTTGAGCGAGCAGGAAGGCGTGGCTTCCTCACTGACGTGTTGATATCGGGAGGAGCTGGGGCGGAGCTCTGCGGGGTTCGGGCGGACCTCGGGCGGAGCTCGGCAGCGGTTCGGGCGGAGCTCTGCGGGATCCGGGCGGAGCTCGGCGAGGTCCGGGCGGAGCTCGGCAGCGGTTCGGGCGGAGCTCTGCGGGATCCGGGCGGAGCTCGGCAGCGGTTCGGGCGGAGCTCGGCAGGGTTCGGGCGGAGCTCGGCAGGGTTCGGGCGGAGCTCTGCGGGATCCGGGCGGAGCTCTGCGAGGTCAGGGCGGAGCTCGGCAGTAGTTTGGGCGGAGCTCGGCAGGGTTCGGGCGGAGCTCGGCAGGGTTCGGGCGGAGCTCGGCGAGGTCCGGACGGAGCTCGGCAGCGGTTCGGGCGGAGCTCGGCGAGGTCCGGACGGAGCTCGGCAGCGGTTCGGGCGGAGCTCGGCAGCCATTCAGGTGCTCGCTCCGCCCCACGCTTCCCATCGAGCGGCGGCGCGGTCACTTCAACCGCCTCGACACGAGCACCGCCCGCGGTTCTGGCTCAGCCTCCGTTGCGATGGAGGAGGAAAGGCTGATGGTGCTATTCGGGGACGACTCGGTGGAGGTGCACTACGCGGGGGGGTCCCGCTTGCTGCTGTCTCCTTGTGGCTCCGAGTATCTATACGAAGCGGCGCTCCCCGCGGCCGCCCACCCGCTCCAGCCGGCGGAGACCACCCGCCAGCGGGTCGCCTTCGTCGTCAGTGGCTACCGGGTATGGGGCGGGCAGAGCCTTTGCGGGCGGGAGCGCGTCCCTTGTCCCTGCGCTGCCGCGGGAGCGTCCCTTGGGCTGTGCCAGGGAATGGGGCGGCCCGGGGGATCACGGCACACACCGCAGTTCTTGTTTCTTTCTGAAAAAAAATATTAGGGGGTTTCAGGGCTCATTTCCACAAAAGATCAGTATGAAATTAGCTTACAGTTTCACCACTGCATGTAAAAACTCGTAACAGGGTTTGTTTTTTTCTGCACTTCAACAGGAACAACTTCAACGGGCTCTAGATTTCCGGAACGCGTTTTCTCCTCGCCCGTACTTGCCTTCACGTATTATACCTCCAGAAAGAAAAAAGGTGGGAGTTACACGTGTTATGCTTTTGTGAAACAAACTTTTCTAGCGGGTTTAATGTGATTTCACATGCTCATGTGTGAGTACASGCCGTGGAGGTCTGTCGGGTGCAGTTTGGCTCACTGAGCTGTCACCTTTCTTGAATTACTGCCATTTTAAATTACAGTTTTAACTGTTACATAGCTCTCTATTTATGCATTTACTTTGTAACCAAACACTGAAATTAATTGACTATTGGTAAGACTAAGACCTAGGATTTTGTACTTTGTTACATTTTGATAGTAGAAACGTTTCAGCGAGTGAAACGGACGGTGTTTTCCGTGAGACTCCCCATTTTCCGTCACATCTCCCCACTAAAGTACCCGTGTGAAAATGCCACTGGGATCTGTGAGAGGAATGGGGCCAAGTGTCTCTGTGGGCATGACTGCTCCCAGTCAGACTGAACATCCATCCAGAGACCAATTTACCATTTATAGAAGCTTTGTTCCACATCACCATCCTCTGGGTGTTCCCACCRAATATGAATGTCTGCACAGCATGGTCAGAATCAATCAATCAACTGATTGACCAGGCAAGTTTTTAAGCTTTTAGACTGGTCCTTCATTAGTAACACACTTCATGCTGATGTTTAGCTGTCTAAAGCAGTCACTCAGTATCACTATATACTTAATGAAAGATGTCAGTCCATTAGGCCTCACCAGKTATGCATTCACTGCAAAGTACAGCAGCAGAGAGCTGATGCTCTGTTCATAGCACTAATGAGTAACTTTCACCTTGTCTCAGCCCAGGAGAGGCTGGCTGGGTTTCTAGACTGTTTTTAACTTGCAGCATCCCTTGTGATTTCTTGCTTCAAGATGCTGAAGGATACTTTCCTAGGCCACAGCAAGCACCTTACTATGTTAGATGACTTCTCTCCCACTCCTCTTTTTTTTTTGTTTTTTTTTTTAGTTTTTTCCCCTCGGATTGAGAAAAACTCCTACTTTTCTTAAAGCCAAAATAGTCCCTTTATAACTCTTGAGATTGTCCTTCTCCAATTGTCACTTTATTGTTTGATGGCCTGTTATCAACCAGTGCCCATATTTTCAAGGCCTTTGCTGTTTTCCCCACTTCAGCAGTCCACCATAATAAAGTAACAGTTATTAAGCTTCATTTCTCAGAACAAGTTATTAACAATTGACAGGYCACTCTGGGGCCTTGCACAGTTAATCTGAGGCCTGAGGCCTGTTACCACTACCAGTGATGRTATTTTTGTGAGGCCCAGGGCACAAAAACATATGGACTGCATTCCTTGCCTTATGCCTGAGCCCAGAACAACCTGTTCCTGGTATACTTAGGCTCTCCTTCGGCCACTCCAGCCATCCTCATCTCTGGACAGCTCTGTGAGGAGGATCGTGGCAGTGGTRTGGCCTGTTCAGAACTGCAACTAGTATTCAAAGTGCAGGTTAACTGTGAATATATATTCAGTGGTATCACTGTATGTTCAGTTTGTTCTTGTCCCTTTCCTAGAATTTTCAAACAATTAAAACACTGATTAAACTGCTGATGAGCAGTGAGTGTGTTTTTAAGGGACTTGGTTGATGGCATCTCAGCTCAGTGCCCATCCTCTTGTATAGAAAATTAGGATTGCCTTTCCCCATTTAGATCACCTTTTGTTTATCTCAACTGAATTTTATCTGCAGCCTTGTTGTCTGACATTGATTTTTTTTAGTGTCCCTTTGCTGTTCTTTATCAAATTCACTGATAATTGGTATGAACAAAATAGTTCAGCCATTGTCTCCTGTTTCTTAGGAAGCAGTTGGAAACACAAGTATGTCCAGTCTCTGGACAGTTGTGCCTGGTCAGTTGCCCATGTACCTTACTAATTTATGACTGAATAGTAATTAAAATGTTATTGTGAGATAGAACTCTGTTATTAGTACAGGAGGCAGCAGATATGAAGATTAAAAGTTTTGCTTCCTCTGAGTTTATACACAGAGATAAATACAGAGCAATGCCATACATGACCTTGCAGAAGGACTGAATTAATTTAAATGTAAATCCTTCACTGAAATATCTGGAAGGCAGATAATTTTTATCTTGTTGCACATTTCAATCCTTTTTCTCCTATTAGATTCTTCCCAGGGATATCTTAGAAATTAAATGGCCTGACCCTGTGACAGCAGATCTGACAAGATGTTTAGACAATGGCAGTGTGAAGATCTCATCTGTAGATGGCTATGCTCACCTTTACTTGTCAGAATTGCAGCAAGAATTTACAGTGGAGTTCTTATGCAGAGTGAGCCAGTCATCTGCAGCATCTTCATGCTCCTCTGAAAAGAAAAGCAGCCATCAAACTGGTGGAAAACCAAGTGAAAATTCTGCTGCAGAAATGTCATCAAAACAAGCAAGAATAGAGAATAAGAATAAACCWTGTGCTGAAGGTCAATACAGGAAGCAAACTAAACCAAAGGACCAAGGAGATGGAGATGGAGTCCCTTTGCTTTACACAAATTCTTCATCCGAATACACATGGGTTACACAGCATTGGACTGTTTCCTGCTGCCCTGAAGAATGGAAATACCCTTTGTCCTTGGCACTAAAGCACTGTAACTTACAGACTGTGAAGAATGTAATGAAGACGTRTGAGAAAAATTGCCACACAGCCGTCAAAGGTGATGTTTTAGCAGAACCTGAAACACATGAAACAGTTTCTCATTTGCCTACAGCTTTGCCACTCAGTTGCAGAGCCCCACATTTACACAGGTAATTTGTTTACTTTGTTGTTGTTAGSAACGCTTTACAATTCTCCAATTTGAAACTCAATTTCTAGTAGAATGTATTCTAGCTATTAAAAAAAAAAGTTTGAAATTACTATCAGCTGGGGGTTTTTTTAGCAACTTCTTGAAACATGACGTTTGTAAAACCATCTATCTGTAACATATTGTAATGAAGCTATAGGAAGCTTTAGTGATTAGATCAGAGAAAAAAAATGTTTTCTGACCTGTATAAATATGTTAATGAAAAAGCATATACTGAAAAAGACAACACTGGTTTGAGTTGGGATGCTTTTTTCTCTTCATTTTTGAAAAGATACTGAGGTGGGTCAGTGGCATATGTTGTCTGTCAGCATCACTAAAAATAATTTAAAAACATTTGCAGGATTGAGATGTTTGATTTGGTAACTAATGTGGGTAATTAAGGAATCAGAGGACTCTGAAAATATACATCCCCTTTTCCTTTGAAAAGGTGTGCATGCATCTGTTGTAGKTACAGAAATGATGACCAGCACACACACACGCAAGAGAACAACCAACATATGGACTTAGTGCGGCTCTTATTGCATTTTATGCAGGTGGACATTCTGTGACTTCTTTCAGAATGAAGATACAGAGAAGTATTCATTCCCTCAGCTAATTCAAGTTGTCTGGTGGCAGGGTGTTTTCTACAGGTATGTTGGAGGTCATTTGTGTTAGCTAGAAGACTTTAATTGTATGGGAATTAAACTTTAAAATGAAATGTCTTATTTTGCCCCTTTCTCACTCTTTGAGAAATGGAACACAATCTTCATGTTAGAGTCTCTTTGTTTCTGCTGTTTGTTCATTGGGCTTCACCTTTTCTACCTGAGTGTGTTATCAGGTCTGAATCTGAAATAATTTTCAAGAGATATGATTATCTGATTGCTTAATGATTTACTAGACAGCTGGAGTTCCCACAGATTTCACTAACAATCCTGGTGCTTGGTTTCTTTGCATATTACTTTTCTCCTTTTGGTGCTGAAGATTTCATAGTTTAGAAATGTGTGTCTTAGTGACTTAGATAATTCACATGTTTCAGGCAGTTCAGTTGTGGATTTTCCTGGCAAGTCACCTTGTCCATATAGCTAACAAAAAACGAACCAAACACCAAAAAATCAACCCAACAAAAAAAA